CAGCTTGAAAGATCCTTATTACACTGAAATTAGTTTGTAAAATGCTTTGGAAACATTGGGAAATATGTTTAAGAACACAGAAATAGGTATCAAAAGCCTGAATTTGAGTTCCAATTTGTGTATTTAATGGCTGAGAAATCTTGGACAGGTCACCACTGTCTTTGAGAGCGATCTTTTCACCTGTATAATAGGGATAATATCTGTTCAGCTGACTTCATAGGGTCTTTATGTAGATTAAATAAGATATAAAAAGTATTACAACCAGAATGAAACAGAAAGACCACAAAAGCCTAAATGTTTCCTCTTCACTCACAAGAGCACCCAGAGTAAACACATTGTTGGAAAAGTCAAGTTTAAAGTGGCAAAACAGTGTCATGTCAATATGGAGGTATCATTTGTACCAACAGTTTGAACAACAAAATCATCACATATTTAATGGACTGAATGTGGAAAGTCCTCGCAACCCTTAATAACATCATATTGCCACCTCAGCATGAGGAAAGAGAAAAAAGTTCAGGGAGGTCACAGTGCAAATCAGTGCCCGTGACAGTCCTGTAACAGAGCTTTTGATTGTCCAATCAGCTCTCAAGACTGCTGAGCCATGCTACCTCTTAGAAGTGCTTCATTAAGTTGAAAACACAGCAAATCAGACATTACGTACTAATCTAAACTCACTGTCAAAAATATGTATTGTTCTCTGCTGAAAGCCAAGCAGAAACTTTAGTTCACAACCATATAGACCAGCAATTTTTAACCTTTTTCTCTCACGGTACACATAAAAACTAGTTACTAAAAAGCTGTGGTACACCAAAAAATGTATTTTTGCCAATATAATAAAAATATAGGTATAATTTTGATTCATTCACATCAGATGGATATTATTGTATGGGCTGCTGCCATTTTTTTTATCTGACAATCTGAGGGAAAAGAGGTCAGTGACCTCCACCTAAAAAGTCAGATATTGCATGCTTTAAACATTCTTGAGGCACACCAGTTGAAAATCACTAACATAGACAATAACATGAAAACCAATGGTTATTCCTGTATCTCCAATTTCATTCTGCTCTTTGTTATATTTTGTAAGCTAAAGTTCCTGTAAAGGAAAAGAAAGTCTCAAATATTGTTTCAGCATTACAACAGGGAAAGACAATAATCTCATAATGTTTTAGATTTAGAATCAGCTACCACATGGAGCCCATAATTAGTAACTTTCTACACCTATGCATTTGAAGGGAAAAAGTATTGCTACTAAGTCAAATTTTATACATGCATGTGTGTGTATGTGGGGGGTATGTGTGTATAACCACTCTAAAAACAGACACCTAATGTTTCTGTATTTTCTTGCTCTGAGGGTGAGGTTAGTCTATAATAGAACGGCTTTAATTTTATATTTCTTCTTCACATTTTTTAAGTTATAGAGCAGCACTATCCAATAGAAATACAATGTAAGCAATATTATATTTAATTTTAAAGTTTCTGGTCAGGGTGCCTGACCACAAAACTAAAGGCCGCCAGTTCCATCCCCAGCCAGACAAGAGGCTACCTCTCTCACATCAATGTTTCCCTCCCTCCCTTTCTCCCTCCCTTCCCCTTTCTTTAAAAATAAGTAAATAAAATCTTGTTTTTTAATTTCTGCTAACCACATTTTAAAAAGGAAAATGAAATGTGTTAAATTAATTTAATAATATTTTATTTAACTCAACATATTAAAATATTTAATATATAACCACTACAAAGATCATTGTTATGTTTACGTTCATGTTTTTCATACTGTTTCATAAGTCTTTGAAATTTGATGCATACATTACACTTAACACACATGTCAATTAGGAACTAACTGTTTATTGGAAATACTTTATCGGTATTTAGATTTCATAAACTTGACAGTTAAAAAGTAGATCCACATACCAAGTTGTCCCAAGCATACATAAAATTTTTCCAAAAACTGAATCAAAGGCCAATTTTTATAGTCCTTTAAAATTTAGTAGCACTGATCACAATTCCAGAGGGGTCAGTTAGTGTGGCTGTCACCTGAACCCATGCCCACCACACCTCAGATGCACACTCTGCCAAAAGGCATTTTCAAATACCGAATAAAAAATGTCCTCCCTAAATGAGAAAGTCTCTGTTTAACGTCTTTTCCCTAAAGCTTTATGTGACCCACACACTTACTTATTTTGAGAAAACCTCAAATAGAGTCATCAGCTTTGACATAATAGGAAGTCTCTCCATCTAATAAAACACAAGAACCTCTAGGACATTTTTGCTCATTTACATAAGTAGAGTCAACTCTCTATTTATTGCCTGTTATTACATTATACATTGAAGTAGAAAAACAGGTCAAATGCCCTACTGACTTGCCTATTTGTTGATTTATTTACCCTACTGATGAAGTAAGGTATCACAAACCAGAGGGTAGGATCAGAGGCCACTGGGAAGGTTAAAGACTGAGGAAGTACTTTAGCATTAAGTTCATGTCCTCTCTCTCTGAGCTTTGTTTTTTCTAGCAAAATCCAGGTATGAATAATCTGTCAAAGCCATTCATTTGTAGTTGAACTAGTACAGAACCAGGAAGAGGCAACTGACCTTACCACGAAATAAAGCTTTGCAAAGCATGTTTTTGCCTCTCGCCTCTACAGGCTTAATGGTTAACAATCTGGGTTAGAGGCAAGCAGTTTGGGTTGGAACTCTTGTTCTGCCACTTGCTATCAGTTTAACTTTGGGCAGGTCACTTAATATTTCTGTGTCTCATCTGTAAAATGGCCATAATAACAGGACCAGATCTCAGTCAAAGACTGTTATGAGGAATAAATGAGATCTCACAGGATATAAAACGTAACACACAGCACTGATCCTGGAACATGGTATGTACCCAACAATTGTTGCTGTTTTTAACTCAGAAATCTGGATAATGGATATGGGGATAAATGCTTAACAAATATTTGTTGTAAATAAAAATATATGTCCAAACACTTGATAAATACCAAAGTGCTATATAAGCTATTTTCATCCTATGTAAAATACATTTAGAAAGTGGATCTACTCAGACAATGTATTTCATGAAGAAAAATACAGATCTTCATGTTGTGGCTTACTAAATTGTTAAATTTTTATAAAGCCTTTACCCAACAATCATACCACGCCATCTGCTTAAATAGTGCTCATATGCATATCAAAACCAAACATAAGTTATTTATCCATCTGTCAACCTCACTTCAGGGGGACCCTTGGCTCTGCTCTCCAGCACTGCAAAGCAGCATCGGACTTAACAGCAGGCCCATAAATTGCCCTATGATGCTCCAGGGGTGTCCAATCTTTGGGGGTCTCTGGGCCACACTGGAAGAAGAGTTGCTTGGGCCACACATTAAACACACAAACACTGACAAAAAATGATGAGCAAAAAAAAAAAAAAGGTTTTAAGTAAATTTACGATTTCATATTGGGCTGCATTCACAGCCGTCCTGTGCTGCATGCAGCCCATGGGGCCACGGGCTGGACACCCCTGTAAAAGTATTTGCAGATAAAAATCTTAAATCTCTAAAGATGGTTTCTCTCACAGCCAAATTTTCTGTTTCCATTGCTATTTTATGTTCCTTCGTCACATTCCTTGACCAGATCGGCTAACCCACAAAACTGCTCCTTACTGGACTTCCTATTTCCTTTGCCTTCGTCTACCATCATTTATAAGCATTAAAAGACCAAAAGAGACACAGTAGCAGTAAATAGGAGAAACAAACGAATCCAGCAATTAGATAAGTAGCCCCAGAATAACCAAGGCCAAATTAAAACTTCAAAAGCTTTATAACAGGTGATTCTACACAGTCATAAAACTGTCACTTCCAAAGGTGGTCATTTCCTGGTCCGTAAAGGGCATGAAAAAAATCTTTAAAATTACTTTTATTCTTTAAAGTGATAAAAATACAAAGTATATCTAAAACTGCCATTTCTATGCCTAACCAAGAGTTGTCACTAAAATAACAGAAATGCTGACATCATAGGATTTGCAAAATAACTTCCCAGAAAGACGGTAAGAGTAGAGGATTTTAAAAAATAAATGCTTGATAAAGATTATTTTTACAATCCTTAAAGTATACATAAGGAGAAGTGAATTCACAGTAGTAGCCTAGCCGAGCTGTGAAAGCCACGCACTTATTCCACCATGAATGCTTCATTAATATTTCAGGGATGATGTTGCAATTTTCCATGAGCAACTGTCAGCGCTTTGCTTCTTGACATGTATCAAAGCGATTGAAACTACATTCAATACTCATGTATCTGCCATTGACCAAAATGCAATCCCGAGGTATCCAGTGTTTCCAAATTCACGCCCAGGCACGTGTAATTTTATATTGTATGCACCCTGCATGCATTTTAACCCTTCCACGCGCTAAAGGGTTTCCTTCCTTCCACGAACCCATCGCCAGGGATTTTATCTTCAACATAATTCCCATTCCAACGCCTTTGAGGCCAGATGTGTCTCCTCCACCCACACGCCGGTGCCATTGTCCTCTTCGCAGTGATGCTTAAGGAGGCTTGCATTTGCACAGACCTCTATCTGGAACCTGCGGGTGGAAGCGCTCTCAGGTTGATGCTTTGTCTCCCGCCTCGAAGGGCCGGGGTCGCTTGCACACGTAGGACACCCTCTACCTAAGAAGAGCACCCCAGTCCAGCAGACGGGGTGCTCCTCCAGGCAGAGACGCACAGGCCATCGCCCAAGGCAGCCCAAGCTGAGACCACCGAGGCGCGGGTGCGGGACCCGGCGCCGCGCAGCCCTTGGCCACCTGCAAACGGCTATGGCGAGAGGACAGCCGGGGTGTCCGCGCCGGCTCCCCGCCGCCGCCCCGCCGCGCGCGCCAGGCCAGGGGGCACCCCTGCCTCCGTTTCCACAGCCGCCCGCCCTCCGGACGGCCCCTCCGGTCTCCGCGCCCGGCCGGCCGGCGCCCGGGCCAGACGGGTCCCCGCCGCGCCCGCTGCCCGCCCGCCGCCGCGTCCGTGCTCACCTGACAGCCACCCGCACCGAACTCTCGTCCGGGGCGCCCCACATGCTGGGGGCGGGCGACAGCCGAGCCGCTGGGCCTCCGCACCGCAGAGCTGAGGCGCCGCCCGAGCCGCGGCGCAGGGGCGCAGGAGGCGAGAGCGGCAGGGGGCGGCCGGCTCACCTCCGCCGCGCTCCAGCCATGTTAGGCGACTGAATGGATAGGTGGCGGCGGCGCTGGGGCGGGCGCGCGCTGCGGAGGTGGCGACACCCGCCGGCGGGCGCCGCCCCTTTTTCCCCTCTCACCGCCCCCCCGCCCCCCCGCGCCGGGATCTGGGGCGGGGACCCGGCGCGCTGGACTAGCGAGCGCGGCGGTGGCGGAGTCGGCAGCCCGCCCGCGGCTGCGGTGTCCGGGTGCCCTGCCCCCTCCGCCGGGGGCACTGAGGCTCCACGTCCTCCTGGGCGCTCCGGGCTGCGGGCCCCGCACTGCGTCAGCCGCGGGCCCGGCCCCCGTCGCCCTCCCCCGGCCGGCGGCCCGCCCTGCCCGCGGCGGGGCGCTGCCTGGCGCTGCCCGGCGGGCAGGCGCGCGGGGGGAGGGCCACCGGCCTGCGCGCCTCCCGGGCTCGGGGGACAACGCTGCAGAGGACGCTCGCCCGTGTGCACCAACGCAGCGCCAGGAATCGGCCAGCTGCCACTCAGATTTGGCCGTTTCCACTCATAGCTTTCTTGTCCTCTCTCCGGCTTGGACTTTGACCCCCTTCCCCAGCCCCCCCGGGCGAATGCCAGCCCTCCGGAGAATCAGCCGCTCTGGCGAAACCGGCTCCCGGCTTTGGCCGCTGTCTCTGTTCTGCAGCTCATCGCCCCTTTACTAGCCCGCGTGGGACATGGGAATGATTTATTTACTCTTGAGACTGTTGAATACGTTTCTGTTAAATCATCTGTGCACTGGTGAATGAACTGTACCCTGGTACCGCCAAGCGTTCCCAGAACTGAATATCCACCAGGACCTGCTGTATAGTAAATCCTTCCAAACGGACATTCTTTGCCTTCTGGCCTTCAAAAACCTCCTCTCAGCCACGAGATTCCATCAACATTGACCCATTGTGGTTTCTGCTGGTGGCTATTGTGCTTCCACATGCCTTGACATAGCACTGTGGAAACAGCCTTTATTAGCTTTACCACAGAGTATCTTTTGTGGAATGCCCATACAGTTTCTCTGAATAAACATGTAGGGACGCATGAGACAGTGGAATAGATTAAATGTCACCATCTAAATAAAGGCACAGTCCCAAGTACCTACAATCGAAAATACCATGCCTAATATCCTACCCAGCAGAGGTACAGCAGCAAGGGCAGAAGGAGGCAGCACACTTTGGGACAAACAGGAAATGTTTAATGATCTTAGGGAATGCCTATGTGATGTTTAATTATAATAGGTTTAACCTTACGCTGTCTCTTAACCTCCATACCTTTGAGTCTTAACATATCCACAACTGGGAAGTAAAGAGACCAGTGATGGTGAGTATCCTTCCGTGGAATATGATTGGTAGCAAAGCTCTCCTCTGGCTGTCTTTCTGGAGAGCATCCCCTCCTCTTGGTATTTGTCTATCAACAAATCTGAGTGCTGGTTCCTTCTGTGCTCACAGAAACCCCATCTGGATGGCTCTGGACTGGCCACTTTGCTTCTTGGAATGATAAAAGCTACAACAAAGGCAAGTAAAGCCAAGCAAATTTAGCAAGAAAACTAAAGAAGTGTGTATAATTTAAGGCCTTTTGCTTTTTAAAAAAGTTTCATTTAAAGAACATTAGTACATAAATGTCTCAGTAGGAACTGTTGAGCACAAATGCCACCAGAAGCCAGGTTGGTAACTTGAGTGAGTGGAGCAGGCAGGGCAAGGACAGTCGCAGAACAGGGAACACAGGCCCTTCCAAAGGCAGTGGCCATCCCCAGCTCTGGACTGCTGGAACGCAGGCCCACTGCCACCAAGCTTTTTGTTTGCTTGCATGTTTGTTACTTCTCAAGAATCAGAGAAGAAGCAGACCTTTACATGAAAACTCAGTTTTTTAAACATCAACCACGAATTCAGCACTATACTTACACACCAGGCCAAACAATCAAAATATGTCTTTGGGCCAATCTTAGTTCCAAGCATCAGGCTGATACTACTGACCAAAATGTTAGCACCAGTATAGCTGAGTCTTTGAGTATAGGTTGCACATGGGGTCAGGAAGAGGTAGTGTAAAAGTTCAAATTCTCATTGATGATGGAATCAGTAATTTTCTCCCAAATTTCAAAATGTATAAGTTAATTATTTTGTATTTATTTAAGATTCCTTTATAGCTGCTATAATCCCTCTCATTATGACTCATCTAATTATCTTTTTTTTATCCTCACCCAGGGACATTTTTTTCTCATTGCTTTTTAGAGATAGAGGGAGAGAAGGTTTTAGAGAGAGGGGAGGGGAGGGAGAGAAACATCAATGTGAGAGAGAAACATGAATTGGTTGCCTTTCTTATGCACTGAAACCCCACCACCCAGGTACATGGGGATCAAACTGGTGACCTTTCGCTCCGAGGGAGAATACCCACCCAACTGAGCCACACCGGCCAGGGCTCATCTAATATTTATCTTAAGTTGAAGGAAACTCCAAAGGAAGAGCTCTTACCACAAAAGTGGTTTAAATTCTATTCCAGTTATTTGACCAATAAATATTTAATAAATGAGCGCTATTATGCAGATAGTGCTGGACACTAGCTATGAAGAGGATTAAGACTGTTAGTTTCTACAAGGTACTTAGAGTCTACTTAGGAAGAAAAATTTGAAAATCTATGACTGCAGTATTAGCATTTATGACAAGAGATATGATGAATTCCATCTGGAAGAATGAGGAGGTCCTTCCATCCATCTGGAAGGATAATCTGGAAAGATTCAGGATGATCTTCCTGGGTCCACTCTGGCCTCTACACTGCGGTAAGGGCGATCCATTAAAACACAAGTCATTCATGTCATTCTCCTGTCTGAAACGTCCTAAAGGCTAGCTAACAGAAATAGAATAAATTCTTCTAGAACTTAAGGCCCTTCACATTCTGGCCTCTCCAAGTTCTAATCTTATCTTTTGCCACTCTAAATTTTAATCACTCTTTTTGGTGAAACTGTCCTCCTTTCTATTCCTTAAACGTAAAGTTATTTTCCTCTACTTGGTTAGCTCCTTTTGATTTTTTTAGATATCAGCTTAAATGCTATCTCCTTGGGGAGACCTCTCCTATTCAATCTAAATCAGCAACCCCACATGATTCACATGGCCCAGTGAAAAATTAAAAATGGCCCTGGCTGGTGTAGCTCAGTGGGTTGAGCACAGGCCTGCGAAGCAAAGGGTTGCCGGTTCAATTCCCAGTCAGGGCACGTGCCTGGGTTGCAGGCCAGGTTCCCAGTAGAAGACACATGAGAGGCAACCACACATCGATGTTTCTCTCCCATTCTTTCTCTTTCCCTTCCCCTCTGTCTAAAAATAAATAAAAAAAATATTTTGTAAAAAATTGAAAATGCACTGTCTTGTTAGAAAAGCAGTATTTAAATGCTGTTAAAGATACTGATCTATAAAGCTTTTATGTTTTTTTCTTCTGAGCATTCTTGCTCAACTTGTCACAGTGTTTTCTTCATTTACTATTTAATGTCATTTCCCATAAAGAAAAATTAAAATTTTAATTATCGTCATGATTTTACCATTCAACTTTATATTGTGCAATATCAGTTTTAAGATATATAGAAGAGCATTTAATTCATATGTGGAATTATCAAAATTATATAATTTCTATTATGTAGTTCATAAACCCACAGGAATTTCATTTTTAACTGAATCGTAGAAATATTGCACAAAGCTAACTGAATTGTTTTAATTTCACTTGCTGATACACCTACATCCTACTAACGCTTTCTACCTTTGGCTCACAGACGCATCAGGAAGAGCTGAAAGGAAGAGGAACTACCTTTCCCTGTCTTTGTTTTTCTTTTTGCGTCATCGTTTTTTAGAGTCAGTAGTTGGCAGCTATAGAGAAGTAATTAATGAGTAAGAAAGAATAAGATAGACTTCTTTGGTCACTGTGTTTCTTAAAACACCTGGTTTGAGGGAAACAGGGCTTCTCAAGTTGTCAGCATCCCTGTTTGGTCAGTTGTAGACATCACACATTTACCCGGGACCTGTACTAGTTTTCAATCTCACTTACCTCTTACACACTGTGGGTCAACCTTGAATTCTATTCTCAGAGGACATCAAGAAAGCTCTATGAGAATAGCGTGACCAAGAACAGAGGACACGTGTATTACAAATGCGTCCTCTGCTTACCCATAGGCTCCAGTGTTTTATGAGACCTGCCTAACAAAACACAAAGCTAGAGATAAAACTATCGATAATTTCAAGACAATGATAGCAGAGTATTAAACCAAGAGTAAGGCCCTCTAAGCAGAGAGCATTGGGTGACTACTAACAACACACCCATTGTAGTTTCAGTTACTTGCTATCCCGTCAGTATTTTAATTCTTCATAGTCCTATCACTAGGTGATATTCTCTTGTATTTTGTTTATTGTTTGACTTCCTTCACTCGAATGTGAGTTCCAAGACTGAAGGGATTTTTTTTGTTTTTTTCACTAATGTATCTGTAGATTCCACAACAGTATCTGACACATAGTATGCATCATTAAATATTAGCTGAATGACTATGTGATTTTGGGCAAGATAGGAGAACTAAATCTCAATTCTTATATGTAAGTATTTTCTACCTTATACAGTTGTTGTGAGATTCAAAGAACTTTGCTTATCAAAGGTGAGTCACAGCACTAACATACAATAAGTGCACAGTAAAATGAACTGATGTTATTATAAACATCTTTGTAAATACAGTGTTAAAAAAACAGTTACTCACGTCATAGCTGCACCTGTCTAAGGTACATTGGGAAAAAAAAAAAGGTACATTCAAGCACACCCTAAACAGGCAGCCAAGAAAGAAGCTACTTCCCCAGTTTTGCCTCTAGGCCATCTACCCTGTGTTTTTCTGCTCTCCTCACTCTAATCAGTCATCAAAAGTTATTTAACTCTTCCTTTTTGCTGCTAGCAGAAAGATTAAAAGAAAGAGTTCTGATTATAACTCCTTATGCAAACAAGTGGCTCTGGAAGAGCCAGCCTAGACAGACATCCTCTCAGAAATCTTTCTGAAGGAAAATCATTAGGAAGCTAACCTTTACTACCTCAATCACAAATATCAATTTTCTTTTTTTTTATTATTATTTTTTTTTTTTTTTTATTTTTTTATTCCCCCTTTTCCTTCAGTGATTTTTTTGTTTTATACATTTCCCTCATTAATAACAACGGGAAGTATGTCTTCCACCACGCCAGGGCAGTATGCTAATTAACATGCATAATTTCAATTCATTCGTTCTCTCAATGACTCTAGAAGGTGGATACAATTACTATTACCTTTTTACATGTGAAGAAACAGAAGACTTTCCAACAACCTCTGTTTGTTAGAATCATTTCTCTATTTTATGCCCAACTCGAAAATTA